TGACTTTTTGTGGCTGCAGAGGTCAATTTAGATACTGGGTGAGGAAAAGGAATTTTAATTCAAGGGCGTATAGAGCAAATGTATAGTGGTTAGATAAAAAAAAAATATGTAGTTACTCGTGTTGATTAGGATAAAACGAATTTATGTTCGAAAATACTGAGTGAGAAGAAAAAAACTTCTTAAGTATTGATGGATGACATGAATATATACATACATATACATATATGCTGAAAGCAAACACATTTTTGTTTAGTTTATTATATCTCCGATTCGCACCACGATATTGACGGAAAAAGTTTTTTTTCTACTAATTTTATTGCTTTTTACTATTTACACTTTTCTGCAAATTTTGAAGTTAAAAAGCAGGTTTTTTCCACGAAATGAACTGGAAATTGTTTGCCATGAGTAGACTAAAATTTTATGTTCGAAAATTTCTGTTGTAGTTAATATGATTTGAGACTAAGTTAAAGCATAAACAGACGGCAGCGTTGATCCGGACCCACTCGGCAGATGACCCGGTTTAAGTCCGAATTAATCCGTATCAGTGCTGAAGTCTGTTTCAGCTTTTAGAAAAGCTACATATATTTATATAATTGTTCATTCATACGAGGAGGTTAGGGCGATCTGAAGCAGCTACAGAACTCAGTTATATGTCAAATTCAAATATAAACTGCAGAGTTTAATCAAAAATTTCCAGATTTTAAATCGGTGAACCAGGAACATAAATAAAAATAAAGATTTGGATTCAGTGGGTCAAAATATATGTCGGTAGGTGGGTCTGGTAAAAGTACACACCACTTTTGGCTATGTGCCGGTGTAATAAATGCGTATTTCATAGCGAAAAAATATAGAACTCATAAAATATTGATTAAATACTGATTTGAATTACTTACTTATAGTCATTACGCCGCCTTCTTAAAAAGCAGCTTTCTTGAGGCAAAACTCGCTCACTTTTAAATAAGACCTCCTAGAATAGACCTAGTACATTTTTATTCGCACACACTGAAGCCTATTTGAAGCTGCTCCCAATTAGCTATGTAAGTAAAGGTTTATATTAAAGTGTTGCAAAACGCATACCTGTTAGCAACTTTTAATTCCGCTTCATTCCTCTCGTCACACAAACCAAATACTCAAAACAGCTTTAAGCCATTTCACAGCTATTAGTGTCGCAAAAACAGCTTTGTGGCAAAATTCTGGAGTTTGGTAGATCATAGCAATGTAAAATGCATGGAAAATTTGATAATTTGGCAAACTTTGCCCTTCTGTTGCAACTGCAACAACAACTAGGATACAACGACAAGGATAACATGGGCATACATATTACTAAGAGTTGCAACCGAGAGGAAAGTTTTCATTTGTTTTTGTAACCAGTATAGACATGCATACCCTGCAGTAAAATTTAAAGACAGTCTGGCAAAGCGCTAGATCCGAACTAGTACATATTTCAGAACTATGTATCTCTGAACTGATGCAAAACGGCTGTAAGTGTACAAATTCTCACTTTTCGTACAGCACGAAAGTAGCTCAGCGAGAAGACCTCCGACTCAAGCATCTTTGGTCGCGAGTTCAAATCGCGGTGGAGGCAGTTTTGATCACCACTCGAGTTTTCAGATTTAATGAACTCAAATTTTGCGTGCCGCTTACAATAACTTTAGCTTTTTTTTATAAAAAAACGTAACAAACACGGAATCTGTAAAAGAAAAGGAAAACGGAAAACGTTTTATTATAAAAAAAACTGCCCAAAATAGAACCGGTTAAAAACTCGTTGCAAAGTAATGCACTGGAGACAATAGCCACCGCCAATGACATCGCCGTGTAAAACTGGACAGTTGAAAGCATTGCATGGGTATTGAGCTAGAACTAATACTGTCGGCAAATGGTCTAGTTCTGAGCTAGTCAGATTTTCTGCAGGGTACATATATGGTTGGTTGTAGTTGCCAAAATGTTTAAAACTTCTTTGGTGATTGCTGAATTACCGAAGCAACACAACTCTACCAGCAAACATTACATCTTTCTTCGGCACAACTCTTGTGAGTAGGTTTGTATTTATGTACACACATATTGTTTAGTAACAGAGTGATTGGAGATGAGATGTTTTCTTTTTGAAAGGTTGGAGTATTTTACCCAGCTAGCATATTTGCCAGACTATTTCTGATATCCGACAAGTCGGCATAAAAAGTTGACTTCAGGTTTCGTACATATTTCCGGGCGAAGTGTCTGGAGAATTTTATTTATTTCCTTATCCGTCTATCTCTGGTGGAATTATTGTTATAATATTTCTTATTTCCATGATTATTTGGTCAGACATCCGTCAGAAGCGTCGGTAATTAAGTCAGAATTTCCAACGTCGTGTCGGTTAGACTTCCTGTCAACCTCTCCACATGCTTCTGTGACCGACAAGTCTGACAAGTCATATTAACAGATTTCTGGCAATTTTGCTAGCTGGGTTAGTTTGTCTATTAGCATGTACGTACATAAATATATGTATTGTGGTATTATGTGTCATGAATGCCTAAAATTCAAATAGTTTTACAGAGGTTCTAATGATGTAATATAGTTTGTTCAATTCAAAGTTAATATTTGAGATAATGCAAATGTTGCTCGACACTTTGTTAAAGCCAGTATCCTCTGCATCTAAGAAGTCTAGAAATTCGACCATCTGCCAAATTTCGTAAATGAATAAGCATTCTTGCACATTAGACTGCATCACCAAACAAACTTAAATAACCTGGCCAAAACTAATAATTTAGACTTATGGGATCTCGGCAGAAAGATATTTTCCCACTATTTTTATTTATGTGCAAAAAAAGTCATTCGTGTCCCAATTTTTTGTTTTTTCAAATACCAACACGTCTTAATTCAACTTTGAATGATGTTCGTGCATCCTACCTTTCTCTTTCATCCTTTGAATTACACCAATCTTTGAAAAAAGTTAAGAAAACAGCATCAGAAATCTCATTATTACGATTCAGTTCAATTTTCTTTTTTTTTGTTTAAATATTTTTATGTAAATTTTTTAAGCTTAAAAAGTTTTGTCATTTAAGGGGACTTTTTTCAGAAAACATCTTTAAGAAACTATTGTTATTCATAAAAACTCCATTTTTTAGGTATTTTCAAATCGGTCCAGCTCGCTTCAATCTTAATGTTTTTCCCAAATATTTTGATGGACGTATTAAAATATAATAGATTTTTTAATTCCAAAACAAAAACAGTACCGATTTTTTTTTTGTATGGGGAGTGATGCAGTCTATTGTACATTCCATAGTTTGACAGGGTAGCGACGATATGTAAGATTTTATTTTTTAATTTTGAGCCTTATAAGTCCACAAAAAAAAAATAAGGTTCGTAACAAACCCAAAGCATTTTGAACCGTTTTAATATTTATGACATTACGACTATATGACGGCTAGGGAAGGTTGGAAATGTCAGTTT